TGAAGAACCCAGTTTTAAACAAAGAGGAGAATCAAATTCATTCTCCTCTCTTTTGTAATCGTAATCCAAATTGTAATTGATTTTGAGAGGAATACAAGTCAATTTTTCTTTCATTGTCTTTTTACTGCAAATTTCCAACAAACACGTCTCTTCTTCAAGACTTCCGCTTTTACTTGGCATTTGAACAACTGGTCATCGATCTTGGAGAAACCCCCACCTTCTTGTTCGACCAAGACTTGAGGTGGCCCATAAAATGAGGAAACTTCATCAAAGACAACATCACGAGACACGGTGTACTTGTGTGTCTCTGGATCCATACACCTCCAGCCCTTCCTTTGTTCATCATAGCCGACAAAGATGCATTTCTTCGCCTTTGCCTCCAACTTGGTTCTTTGAGAGTCAAACACGTGGACGTAGCAGATTGATCCAAATATCCTGAGATGTTTCATCGTTGGCTTCTTCCCATGAACCATCTCATAAGGAGACTTCATATTATTCGGACTAAGTGGCATCCGGTTGATGACATACGCTGCACATCTCATGTCTTCCGCCCATAAGGCCTTATGCAAATTTTTGTCATGTAACCAGCTTCTACATGTCTCGCTTAGATGTCTTATCTTCCTTTTCGCTACTCTATTTTGCTGAGGTGTATACAGACATGTAAATTCTCTTTTGATACCATGTTTTTGGCAAAAAGAGAGAAACTCCTTTGACATGAACTCCCCTCCATTATCCGTCCTTAAAGTCTTGATCTTCTGACCTAATTCTCCCTCCACGGTAACCTTGAATTCTTGAAACTTGGAGAATACTTCTGATTTTTCCTTCACAAAGTATACCCAAGTGTACCGTGAGAAGTCATCAACAAACAGTAACATGTACCGAAACCCAGAATAGGAGGATGTTCTCGTCGGACCCATCAAATCACTATGGACCCTCTCCAACGGAGCGCTGCATCGTGAAGTGGAGTTGTCAAATGGAAGCCTATGTGACTTTCCATATTGACAGCCTTCACAAAGCTTTCCTTCATCATGAATCTTCAACTTTGGGAGCCCGTTAACCAAATCCTTATTCACCATAACCTTTAGCTTAGTCATATTTATATGACCAAGCCTAGCATGCCATATAAAGGCATTATCATTCGTACTCATCTTCTCAACATAAGAATTTGAGGCCGATAAAACATATAAATCCTTAACCCGTGCTCCGGTGTGAACCACGTCCGCTTTTAATTCTTTAATATTCTTTAAGAATTTAACGTCTCTTGGGCCAAATAAAACGTAGTTACCTGAGTCAACCGCATTCACCACAGAGAGAAGATTCTTCCTTACTCCAGGAACATGATATACGTTCTTGAGAGTGATTGGGCTTCCATCATCTCCTTCAATAACGACTGTCCCTTCCTTCTCAACGCGGTGGATTGAATTATCCGCAGTAATGATGGCTTCTTTCCCGTCATGACGCTGAAGACTAGAAAATAACTTCTCGTCTCCGGTAATATGATGGCTACAACCAGAATCCACAATCCAATCATTTCCAAGATTTTTAGCTGTGGATGTACCTGAAGATGCAGCCTCCACCGTGAAACATTTTCCCCATTCTTTGTCTTCAGTATGACCCTTTGATTCCGCTATATTTGTTTCCTTCAGCTTGACTCGACAATCCTTTTTGAAATGCCCAAGTTTTCCTCCCCGATAACACTTGAATCGTTTCTTGTCTCCCGTAGAAGATCCTTCTCGTCCATCATTATTCTTCACATTACCATATTTGGGTTTGGCTCTGAAGCTTTGTTGTCTCCCCGCTACAAAAGCGCTCCCCGAGTCATCATGGACTTTAACTCCCGCCATTTGCATGGCTAGTGATTCTTGCGAAGCTAGTAGATTTTCAAACTCCTCCAAGGAAGGTTGTGTAGCCCATCCTTGAACTGAAGTAACAAACGGTGTATATTCGGATCGTAGACCACGAATAATAGACCGCTTCTACCTTGCTTCCGAAATCGACTCCTCCGGATTTAGAGTATTAATCTCAGAGCAAAGATTTTTTACCTTGATGAAAAACTCTGAGATTGAAGACTCCCCCTGCTTCGCATTCGCCAACTCGTTCTCTAACAGTTGTAGACGAGCCTCGTTCTTCTTGTTGAACAATTGATCTAGTGCCTGCCAAATAGCACTTGCGGATGTACATCTTGAGACATGCTCAAATAGTCCTGAAGATATTGACCTCTTCAAAGCAAACTCCGCCTTGGCATTCTTCCGTGTCCACTCCTTTGTCGCTTCCGCTGTTGCAGCATCTCCCCTTGGTGGTGTTGTGCTGCTACCGCCGACGACATCCCATAAGTCCTCACTAACCAAGTATGACTCCATACATGACTTCCATAACCGGTAGTTAGATTGGTTTAAGATCTCCATTCCCAATCCAACGACACGACCCATTGATTCCATACTTAGAGTAAACCCGAACTCTCTTTAAACCCCGGTCTTGAAGAGCACAAGATTAGAATGGCTCTGATACCATGTAAAGATAACACCGATAGTGCTTAGCACTAGCCCAAGACCGTAATACCCGAGAAACCCGAAAGAAACCAAGAGAATAAACCTCTAAGTATGAAGAAGAATATGAAGAACACTTAGAGAACACTTGAAAGACTTTTAGAGAAATGTAGAGAACTTATGAAGAGGAAGACTCTTTATTTGAACTTGCTTTATTCACTTGTTCAACTTTTTCTTCTTGCTTACAAATGAGAGAGGTGAGGAGGTATTTATAGCCTCCTAAAGATATGTTACAAAGGATCTTGATTCTTCTAATATCACCTCCATAGTTGCTAGATATTTTTCTAATCTCTAGAAATTTCTACATAATATCTAAATATTTTTATCACAGATTATCTAGATGTTTCTATACTATTATCTAGATATTTAGCTTAAAGATTTCTCTAGAACACTTTAAGGAGGTGATCAACCTTCTAGAGTGTTTCTAGAAAACCTCTAGAATTTGGACCTAATTTTGGGTTTGGTCAAACTTAGAATAATTCCATCATAAACTCAAAATTAAGCTTGATCTAAAATACAACTAGGAATAGCGATTCATCAATCACATCACATGCATGCTCACATAGTAATCGAATTTCTGCCTAAAGCATGGAAGCTTTATTATTGTACTAGTACCAGTCGCAATACAAGAGTTCGGAGAACATAAAAAATAAAAATGAGAGAGAGAGAGAGAGAGAGAGAGAGAGAGAGAGAGAGAGAGTTAAAGGTGTATCTCCTAGCTGATTTTAACTGTGAAAATGAGAATTATTTCAAGGTCGATATTTTGATTTATTAAAAGGGCTAGTCGAAGCTATTATTGCCTCGTAAAAGAAAACCTATATACTTTTGCTAAAGAAAACCCTCGTAAAAGAAAACCTATATACTTTTGCTCGATAAAATCTCAAAGGGCAGCTCCCGAATGAAGATTTTGCCTTGGCCCACATGATTGGCAATTTTGACTGCTTCAAATATTCACCTTCTAGAAATTAGTCGGTTGCTTCATTTTCGTCGAAAACAAAGAAAATAGCTATGAAATTTCCAGTTAGTTGAACTCAAGAACCACGGTTAAATCTTTAGAATTGCGAAGCAAGAATAAGCATATATGGACGACCCGAAACTAACGCTGCATTCTTTATTCCAAATTTTTACTGCTGGCGTGCATGGATGCGTAATAAATAATCCAATGATCCTTCGGTCTAGCAAAATAGCAGCATCTCTTCGCAGATTTTGATAGTTATTCCCTCTACTCTAATTACACTGATCCGATATGTAAAATCGTTTTATATGCTCTTTTCTATTGTATTGTCATAAAATCAGTCTTCGGAGTAAAATCCCTGTCAAAATCCTGCATGGTAGGGGTTTCCGATAACAAACTAGGGGCAGTGAAAAGTCTAAACTGTCACCCTGCTAACTAAAAATATAGTAAAATCCTTAGCTCAAAACATCTCACATCGTGCAGGGCATCTTTGTAGGAGTTCTCCTCCGCTCTTTAGTCTTTCGTTGTCACCCGACGTTGGCTTCGGGTTGGAACTTTCACACAATATTATCCCCTTATTATAATTTGATTTATGATGATTTGAATGTACTTTAGTTATAGAGTTCGATGTACAAAATAAATTATAAATTGTTATTTAACAGTTATATTAGCATAAGATCTTTTTAAAGAACTTAATTTGAGGAGTTTACCAGTTGACAATATTATAAAATATTGGGGCAGGTGATCTAATAAAAAAAAAAGGAAAATACTGAACAAAATTTCATATAAACCTGTTATTGGATTGTGTAGAATTCAATTCAACCTCAACCAATTTTTGTTACCCTCCATCATCCTACATTATATATGCCTCATAATTTCCTGCAATTTTTACCCAACATTTACTGTATGGATACACATAGGTATATATATAGTTTCAGGAAGGGGGGCGTGCATGAAAATATTGTGATTTAATTCTAGCTGTCGTTAATTTCTTTCATTCTAGTTAAATATTTATGGGCTAATCGCGGAATGATCAATATCGGGGATCTCTCATCCTTCACAGTTATTTCCCTCCGATCCCTGACCAAGACAATTACAAAGACGAAGTTAGAAGGGGAACGATATGCTACTGGATCGGTAAGTGGGCATTTTACTTTTTGTTGAGAAAATGTATATACAGGGGCCTTAGTTAGCCCATGTTTTTTTTTTTGAGAAAAAGGATGGAATACCACAAAGGTATTCCAGCCAGCTAAATTAAGATTTGGTTGTTACAAAAGAAGAACATACTCCCAACCATAGAGCATGCACTTACTGTTTATACCAAAAACTTACAAAGCCAAACCACACTCCCATAGCCTAAGTATCAGGCGTAATTTCTCAAAAGAGAACAAAAGAAAAACCAACAAAGCAAACCAGAATGTTGAATATAACCCCATGATGTACACAACAGCAAAAAACATAGACTTATCTTTTCCATCTTCCAAACCACACAAAACCATCTATTCCAACTGGATCACCTGGACCTCAGCCATCCCGCCAGTAGCAGCTTTATCACTGATAAGTCTCCCAGTAGTTTTTTTTCTCCTCCTTTCTTGTAATCGAGCAGCTCGAGCAGAGATTCCTTTAGAACCTAACCAAAAGGTTGAATAAGTCACTATTTTATTTAGAAGGAGAAGAGATCCTTTCTGTTTATTAGAGAACAATCTATCATTGCGTTCTTGCCACACAGACCAGATCAGGGAGCAAATCCACACTAATTTCTTCAAATTAGATTCACCATCAGTACCACCATTCCAGCAAAGCCAAACTTCTTTCAAAGAATTCATTCTAAATTCATTATCAGTGTTTAACTTGAATTGAATAGATCTCCAAATTGAGTATACAAACTCACAGTTAAGAAATAAATGTGCATGATCTTCATCTTTTGCTGAGCATAAACAGCATGTTTTCTCTACTTGAATACCCTTTCTATTCAGCATATCTTTAGTGTTTAAACTCTCCCTTAAAGCCAACCAAACTAAGACCTTAACCTTTAAAGGAACAGGGAGGCCCCATAAATTCATACAATCATATCTCACTCCTCCATCATTAAGAAAAATATAATAGGATTTAACTGTAAACATCTTTTTTGTCTCCCATATCCATTCTCTTTTATCATCATGATACATAAAGTTCTTTGAGTTAATAAGATTCATCATACTAAGATATTGTAACACCAAAGAACCTGTCAATTGCCTTTTAAAATGAATCTCCCATCTCCACGAATCATTTTCAAACTTCCTCAAACTACTCACACAAGCATAAGGAGATGTAGTGAAAGACTTAGTTAGCCCATGTTATTGAGAAATGGAGACAGTGGATCGATGTTAGTGGTCACTGTACGTATATACGATAATCGTTCCTCTTAAAATGGAAAGACAAATTAACACCATATATATTCATTACTAATTAAGAGTGGTAAGAAAGGAAGAAAGAGGGGGGAGAAAAAGGAGGAGGAGCCCATATATAGAACAATACTTATTTTTCTACAAAATTCATAACCACGGGTTAAAACTACTCCGCATCGTCTTTGGTCTGAATTTCTTGATGAACCTTGTCAATGAAGCGCTTGGCTTTCTCATTGATATCGTGGTCGGCATACCAGTGGGGGCCTTTGTCTTCGTCGCTCGACCAAATCCTAGTCCTCGCCCGACTCGGCTCCCTCTGCAGCGACTCAACTCTATAGCTAGTACTCTTCTTAAAACCAAAGCAGCAGCAGCAGAAAGACGATTTTTTGCCTACCATGATTTATTAATTTTCACAAACTCTCTTTAATTACGAGAGAGAGAGAGAGAGGTTGTGTTTGCTCGTGGGGTACATGAGCTACGTCCCCTTCGCCATTTATAGAGTCGAGATTTGAGCTCAATCTCTGCGAATATGTTTGGCTACGTACTTGAAACACTGACATATTTCGTACCAAGTCTTTTTTATTTTTATTTTATTGACTAGGACTAAATGGTCGGCAGCGGACTAAACGGTCGGCAATGTTCGCAATCTCGCAAATATCCACTGGCTGGCTTAGGTAACTTCCAGGGACAATCACAGGATGTATTTTTAGTGATTTAACTAGTGAAGCGTACAACAAAAGGGAGGAATTCATTAACGATACGTTGGAATAAAATGTTTTGAGCTAGGTTACATCAATCATGTTTACTTTTCTAGAGTTCGTCAAGAGGAGTGCATTTCGGTAAAGACCACTTTATATGAGATTCAATCAAAAGAAGCAATTCCTTCGGTGACTTAATTTGATGCGTAACACTCAAGGGTGTTAATTGCAGATAGACACCCCTTAATTAGTATCTTTGTTTTGCGGTTACTGTATATTTCTCTACTTTATTATTTTATTTTATTTTTCATGTAGACCTCCGAGTGAAAAGTTTGTGGCGTGTATCATACCAATCTTTGAATTCTCTTTTATCTTTTTGACTAGGACTGGATGGTCCGCAATATGTATCCAAATAATCAGGGGGATATCATAAGGCCACACATCGTTAGTACCTAATAATGGCGAAGCATACAACAAAAGGGAAGAATTTCTTCATAGGATAAGTTCGAATTATATATTAAGCTAAATTGCACTAAAACACCTTATATTTCACTAATTTACCACTTATATACCCTCAATTTAGCACTAATTTAGCACCTATATGCCCTCAATTGTTTTTTAGAGCACTTACATGTAGATTGCAGGCGAAGACGACAAAGCTCTGGAAAATTGAAGCAGAAAATATTTTGGATGTTTCACGGTCGATCGCGAGTGGCGCTGCGGTCGACCGCGAACGTGCACATAGCCTGGGAAAGTATCTGGACTTTTCACGGTCGACCGCAAGGGGATTCGCGGTCGACCGCGATACACTGTAGCGCATTTTTTGTTCTCTCTCGTTGGCCACGGTTGACCGCGACTGCCTCAGCGGTCGACCGCGATGCGATTTTGGGCATGGGCTTGGTTTCCTGTTTTGTTTGGGTTTCATGTTTATATAAATAGGAACACAATTTATTTAGGGTTCATTGGATCATATTGATCACTTTTGGGGTAGCTTGAAGGAGATTTTGAGCACAGAAAAGAGAGTTTTTTCTGAGTAATTTTTTTGAGGATTTAGTTTGTGAGATTTGAGAGATTTGTTTGAGAGGTTAGTTGAGTGATCTTATAATCTCTATTTTGTACTCTCTTTCTCTATAGTGAAAACTCATTCCCTTCTTGCCCCGTGGACGTAGGCAATTTGCCGAACCACGTTAAACTTTTGTGTTTAAGTTTGTGCCATTATTTTGGATTGTTTTTTACTTTCTCTCTCGGTGTTTGAGTTTGTTCCGCCACGCATAACAAGTGGTATCAAAGCTTGGGCTACGCTTGGGCTATTTGGATGAGTAGATCACTTTGAAAGTTCGTCTAGGGCTTCAATTGGAAGTTAAATGTGAGATCTTTTTGGTAAAAATTCTATCTTTTCTTAGTTTTGGATCTATTCTTCAGTTTGTTCTGCATTGGTTGTTGGTGTGTTGAGGAAGATGACTGGGAAAGAAGGTACTTCGGGTGTTGAGGATGGTGCTTCTGGCGTAAAGATCATTCAAAATTTGAATATCCACTCTACGAAGATAGATGTGGAGAAGTTTAATGGCACGAATAATTTTGGATTATGAAGATGTGAGGTTTTGGATGCGTTGAACGCGCAAAATTTGGAGGATACTTTGGAATTGGATGATAAGACGGATGATATTGAAGAGAATGTTTGGAAGAAGATGAATCGGACAGCGTGTGGTGTTATTAGGTCTTGTCTAACACAAGATTTAAAGTATGATGTGATTAATGAAACTTCAGCTAAGAAGATTTGGGAGATCCTTGAGAGCAAGTATTTGACCAAGAGTGTGGAGAATCGCTTGTATTTGAAGAGGGGGCTTTATCGCTTTCAATTAAAGAAAGGAACCTCCATTGGTGATCACATGAACCACTACACAAAGCTTCTTACAGATTTGACGAATATAGATGTTATGATTAAAGATGAGGACATGATATTGTTGTTGTTGAGTTCCCTGCCTGACGAGGAATATGAGACTTTCGTCCTTACTCTTATTAATGAGAATGCATCTCTTTCGTATAGTGAGGTCACCGCTAGAATTATCAGATTCGAAAGAAGAATAAGGAGACTTCAATTGAGATAGTAGCGGAGGCGTTGGTCGCAAGAGGGAAGAATCCAAACCGAAAGAATTAGAAGTCACAGTCTAGAGTAGGGCATCCTACAGTTAGAAAAGATCAGTGTGCATGGTGCAAGGAGACTAGTCATTGGAGGAAAGATTGTCCAAAGCTCGACGAATGGATGAAGAATAAGCAGAAGGAAAAATGGAAGCAACCATCATCAGAAGCAAACATCGTTATATCGGATGATAATATTTTTAATACTTCTATTTATTCGCTTTCTATCAGTCCTACAGGTAGCTATTCGGAGGAACCCGAGTGGATGTTGGATAGTGGTGCGACCCATCATGTGTTCCTTAGAAGGGAATGGTTCGTCAGTTTTGAAAAGCTGGAGAGTGGTGTGGTGTACATGGGTGACAACCGTGCATGTCAGATCCTTGGGATATGAAGAATTCACATCAAGATATATGACGGGATAGTTAGAGAGTTACATGGTGTGAGATATGTTCCATCTTTGAGGAAGAACTTGATCTCGATTGGAGCATTGGTTAGAGAGGGTTTTAGAGTTCGTATCGAGGACATGATTCTCAAAAATTGTTGAAGGCTCTCATATTTTGATGAAGGGCATCAGGAAGAATAACTTATACTATTTGATTGTGAATACAATAACAGGTGGAGAGCTGGCGATGGATATTGATTTGACTAGACTGTGGCATTTGAGGCTTGGCCATTCCAGTATTGATTTGGAAAAGGGTGCATCAACCTGTAATTTGAAGTCCAATGAACATTTTGATGTGAGCGAGAAGACCGAGGTGAAATTTGGCACCTCTATTCACCACATGGAGGGTCTTTCAGATGGAGTTTATGTGGATGTTCGGGGCCTTCCAAGAAGGCATCAATGAGAGGTAATAGATGTTTGGTTTTCTTTGTTGGTGACTGTTCTAGGCATTCTTGGTTGCAACCAAATCACGATTGGATAAAGTCTTAGTAGTTTCCAACAAATTGAAGAAGTGTGAGATTGGCAGAAAGGTGAAGGTACTTTATTCTGATTTTGATGGGAGGTACAAGAGGGACCTGTTTCTGCATTTGAGGCAAGCTCACTGTATTTTGAGATACTTTGTTAGAAAGGAAATCTTAGGGCAACTAGATGGGGTGGCAAATTTGGAGAACCATGCCTTGTTAGAGGAGGATCGGTGTTTGTGGTCAAGCAATAGTTTGTAGAAGAGTTTCTGGACTGAGGCTTCGACATATTCGAGTCACCTTATTAAAGGGTTGTTGACTGCTGCGATTGGAGGTAAAACTCCATTGGATGTTTGGTCTGGTAGTATCACTTTGGTTGAGACTTCTATGAGGGAGCTAATGGACTCTCAGCAGGTGGAGAGTTTTGGATAGACCTTAGATGTATCGCAGCGGGTGAAGAGTGATACAACTCCATATTAGATAGAGATTACTCCACATACGTCAGATCATACTATATCATTTGGGATTCCAGCTGAGGTAACACAATTAGGGGATGATTTGGATTTCGCTGCAGACGATGAGTTGGTTGATTCGAATGCAGGTAGTTGATATGATTTGGATACGGTAATTGGTTCACCTCAGGTGGAGGTGTTTGATTTGTTTCACTTTAGGGCCATTTGGAGAACTATCAGCCGCATATTTGTTGGTGAAGAGTTGAGAACTTTTCTATTTGATTAAGGGCTTTTGGAGGTCATTTGGGGAACTATGTGAACGCTTGATTCCTTTGGCAATAGGATACGTAGGCAGTCAATTTTGATGCAGCCGATTTGATGGGTTGATACCGATATTTTGGAGTTTGTTCGCATTCTCATTTGGATCTTGACTTATTGTGGATGGAGTCCGTTGTCATGATTTTGTTTCACTTCATACTAGACGCAACAAGTGAGACATTTGATTTGGTTGATGTCGGTTTAGTTTTGGGAAGACTTCGCTGAGGTGAAGAATTATAGAATTGGAGGCGAAGGCGAATAAGCTCAGGAAAATTAAAGCAAAAAACATTTTGGATGT